GACCAATAAAAATGCTCCAAAATTGCTTGGGAATAACATCTGTTTACATTATCTTACATTAAAAGTCATGCCATGAAGGGTTCTTTGGAGCAAAACCACTTTTGGTTCCCTAAGAACCAATTTTGAAGAGTCTTCAAATAATGTACCACATGTAAGGGTTCTTTCTAGAACCTTTACATTACACACATCTCATACTGAAATCCACTGTAATGCTTTAGGGAACCATGAGTGGTCCAGAGAACCCTTTTATTTTGCCTATATGAGTGTTTAGTGTATGAACTTTGGTTAAAACTCCCCATTGGAAGTCCAGTTTGGTCAGTATATGACGGTCAGTCATTGATATTTGGCGTCCAGAAGGTTGTGCGGCTCGTATTAAGAACGGTTGTAAATGTTTGGTCAGCCTGGCTGGTGTATGTGGTCATAAGCCTGGCATATTGGACAGAGTGTTTGGCATGTAGAGTCTCTTCTCATGTCTCCACAGCACTAAAACTCTCCCCGGGGAAAGAGCACACGAGCACACCTGCTACGGCCTATTCGAGTCTCCGTAAAGGTCATCTTTATGACCTCTGGGGTCAAGTTGAGGATCAGGGGTCTCGGGGGGTCACTGCTGCTACGAAAGAGTAGAGTGTCTGTAACAGATACTCTAGCATTTCTCACTATCTGGCACTGTTAGGTTACCTCACTCACCCTACATCAGAAGTGTCACCTGACTGAGAGCCTCAATTATGCACATGTGAACATTAACATTAAAACAGCTTTAAACAGGCTGTCCACTTATTTTGGCTAATTTCTCTGGCCACTTGGTGTCGTACGTAGCGGTGTCTCCAAATTAATGACTGGAAAACTGATGTTGATTATCTTATCATATTATTTTTTTATTTTGTATATTATAGCTGTGATTATAAGTACACTTTAATTTATTCAGCTGTCATTAAAAATGTTGTAGTTTATGTTCCACCACTTTGGGTGGCAATGGGCCAGTACAGGTCAGTTTGGACAGTTTCATTGGAATCGGCTGAGGTTCCGATTTAAAAGTTGATCAGGTGGTTCGGGTTGAGCTTATTTAGGCTGTGTTTGGCTTCGGACCAAAATCTAAGACCCTATTAAAGACGCAAATTTGTGAAAAATGAAATTCACACAACTTTTCCCCTCACCCAGAAGGAGTTGATCAGCCAAGACACGTTTGGTGTCCAAATTTTGCTTCTTTAGTTTTGAGCTGGAGCAACAAAGCGAATGTGGCTAACACTAAAACCAATAGTTTCGGTCAACGCATCCCCAAAACATTTCTCGAACTGCTCGAACTTTAGCTGAGCCAAGAATTCATTTTTATAGCTCACTGTAAGTCATACTGTGTCCTAAACCACATCCTCAAAGTCGGTGCCACCTTAATGAAGAGCTGGATGCTGTTTGAGGGGGTTGAGAGAAGATTTGGGGATGTGTTTCCAGAAAAGATTTGGGTGACTCTCGACTTATAGTGTTTATTAGCAACATTAGCGTCAGAGCGCCAGTGCTGAACTAAAGAAGCAAAATTTGGAGATTGAGAGATTTCTGCACTTTTGCGTCTTGTTTGTTGGATCTGAGTTGAGCAGGGCTGTGTTGGAAGAAGCCCCACACAAACCAAAGTCTCTTTAGTTAGCGTGTAAGCCAGCTAGCATTCTCTGCGTTTTATGGGCTAAATCAGATTTATCTTATTTAAATATTCCTGTCCTTTATTCTTTACTTCCTACTGTCAGCATCTCTTCTGTGAAGTCCCTCCAAATTACCGTTGCTTGATTGATTTGTTGCCAATAGTACGACGGTGTTTTAGGGCCACTGTTAATAAAAATATTTATTTGAGAATAAAGTCATAATATTTTGAGAATAAAGTCGTAATATTTCGAGAAAAAAATTGTACTATTTTGAAGAAAAAGTCGTGCAGTATATTTTGAGAATAAAGTCATAATATTTCCAGAAAAAAATCATATTTTGAGAAAAAAGTCGTACTATTTAAAGAAAAGTCTACTGTTTTTATTTTTATTAACGGGGCCCTAAAACGCCATCGTACAGTAGCCACCTAGCCTCAATTCCATTACTCAATGCTAAGGACGTTTGCATGATCTGTTAGCTAAACTCCTACTAGCACTACCAGCTAAAACACTGACTCCTAGTTGATTATTTACCTTTTTGCATTTACTGAAAAAAATATGTGGAATACTGAATATAAATTATATATAAATAATAAAATCTAAATTATTGTGTCCATAGTTTTTGATAGTGTATTATACATGTGGCTCTACTGTGTCATTCCAAAGTTTTCAGATGTCTCGCCTTAAAATATTGATATTACGTGTGATATTACATGTTTGCTGTATCACCCATTTCTGTTTCAAATATATCTAAAGTTAACAATAAGTAAAATCCTTATAATGATCAATTTAATGTTTAATATTTCATTAAGTTGACAGCCCCTTTAAGTATAAACGATAAACACATCTTTTTGTTCACAGCTGGAATGTTTGCGTTGGCATTTGGATGAGGACCTTCAGTTAGCCAGCGAACTTTAGCCCTCAGAAGAGTCTGTCCAGTCAGATTACAGCCGAGCAGCATTGTTATTGGACCAGAACCCACTATTTGGCCTTAAATTATCCAGCTTAATGAGAAATCCCGTTTGGTGAAACTCCCTAGAGGCCCTAATGTTTCTAATGTTTGACCCTAAACCGAGTGTCCTCTGGTTGAGTGTGCATGTGGTAATGCGTTCTGTGCTGCAGCCTGGAGCTGGATAGGTGTGATTAATGGTCCTTCTGATTCGACACCTGCTGTTTTATAAGACCCTGCTGTACGTAACTGATCTCTGGGCGCTTGTCTGGGTGGGTGTCTTCATTTTAAATAGCCCCTAAGTTTAACCCATTTATGAAGCTTCTGTCCAGGCCGTGGACGTGAGCCTGAGACCGAATGACCCGAAATCGCGGTTTTAAACAAGGTGATTTTCTGCCAGTGATGTCCTGGGAATCCACACAGACTGGAGAGGCCAGAGCCCCTGCAGGGGGCGCCGCGCAGGAATCATTAATTTAGTACGTGGATAAAAATACCCACTGCATAGCTGAGAAGCACCTCACAGACTCACTTCATGGCTAATAGCTCCTTCTGTGGCTAATGCCTCAGTTCGTGGCTAAAAGTGAGTCACAGACTTTCTGATGATAAAGATGGATAAAATGTGTCTCGTGCTACAAAAAAGGTTGACTTTTTCAGTTAGTAGGGAAAACAAAAGATTGGTTTATTGGTTTAAAAGGATCTCACATACTACACTGCTCCCATAATCAATAATAATATAATCCCATAATAATGCTGTAATGTGTTGCTGTATTGATTTACTGCTGTTTAATGTGTTTTCTTTGATGATTATACATGCAGTCTTATTAAGAGAGGCTTATCAGGCCATGTTTTTCGTGGATATGAATGCCATTTGTTGACTTTCACCCCTCCGAGGTAAAGAAAAGCGGCCGAAACAGCTGTTTCTCAGAGCAGCCAGAGGCGGCATGTTCAATGGGTTGATATCTGTCACACCTCTGCAGTTATGCCTGTGCGTTTGTTCCCTCTTGCATTTCTTCGTGGGGAATTTCTCTTGTACGGGGCCAACTGGCCCACTCCACTGACCGTTCGCTCTAATAGTGGACGGCAGCTGTCGCGCTCCACAGCCGGACGCTGCTAACGCTCAGTCAACAGCAAATGTCTTCGGGCTCACGTCGTGCGCGGTAACGTGATTCTCTGTATTTTGCTATTAGTGTTGATGAGTGATGTAAGCCCCAATAATAATAACAATAAAAGTCATTCTCCACGTAACTGACGGTGCGAGGCGAACTGACATCTTCAGCGTCCATAAATATAAAGTTTCCACCGTTTGGTCACCTGTTAAATGAAGGTCAGCTTGTGTTGGGTGTTCATATATTACCAAACACTGTTAAACCCCTTTACAAAAGACGGTCATTCATGGGGTTTTTTATTAAAGGCAATGGTTCCATCAAGAAACCATGAGTTCTACTCTCTTAAAATGATGGCTTTCCAAGGGTTCTTTGGTAAAGGCAATGGTTCTATTTAGGACCATGAGCTCTATATGGGATCATTTCATGCTGAAAAGGTTTTTGAATATGGTTCTGTATAGCACTGAAAAGGGTTCTACTATTGTTATGATGTCAAGCTTGTTACAATAGAATAAATGTGTATGTAGATAGATAGATAGTGTGTACATATATATATATATATATATAGACGCTTTTTTAGTTTTTGACATGATTTGAAAATACTTGTTACCCTTTACATTATATGTAAATTTCATGATGAATGGACTAAAACAAACGACCCAAAATGACTTGGAAAAAAGTCTGGTTCCATTGACTTACATTAAAAGTAAAGTGTGTTTTTTCCTTCTCCTGTAAAGTTACCATTTTGGAGATACGAGGTTTTCTTCCAACACCAGCGACAACAGACCGCTGATGAGTTGTACCCCTTATTTTTACATTAATTAATTAATGTGTTTATTTATACACTCTGCATGAGTGATCTTGACTCTGCAGTACTGCGTGTCCTCTGCTGGTGTGAATGTGAGTTTGGGGTTCGTGTCCTCGCGCTGTCTGAGGGAGTTTGGTCATATGAGCTCCGGAGGGAGGGGTGGCGGGGGAGCTTGTGCGTAAACAGTCCATGAGCTGAACACCGAGCGATCTGTGAGACCAGGACAGTCACCCTCTCTCCTTCCCTCCCTCTCTTTCTTTCTCTCTCTCTCTTTCTCTTTCTTTCTCTCCCTCTTTCTCTTCCTGTCCCGCTCTCACCTTAATTTGTCTCCGTCCCTCTCTCTTTTTTCTCTTTCTCTTTCATTGTTCTCTATCTTTCTCCTACTCATTTCTCTTTCTGTCACTGGTTTTTCTTTTTCTAACTTTCTCTCTCTCTCTCTCTCTTTGGCCCCCCCCCTCCCATCTCTCTCTCTTTCTGTAATCACTCCGTGTGCTCTCTTCGTCCCCTCTACTCACATGGAGACTCTCACTCTCGGTGAGCTTGCGGCTCCATTGAAGCAGAAACAGCAGCCCACGATCTCAGAGGTGGAGTCCGAGTCCAACTATGCGGACCTCGGGGAAACCAACACGGCACTCTCCGCTGGCACGCGGACGAACGGCACCAAAACTGTGAAGGTCACGTTCACAGGGGAGGGGAACCAGCTGGCCGTGTTCCGATGGAGGGACACTGGAGACACAAAAGATTCTTCCTCTTCGGTCAAAACTGGGAGTTCAGTGGGCGAAGAAGAGCAGGAGGAGTTGAGCTACACGGAAATGCGCCTAGGCAGTCACCGTCAATCGGAGGACGAGAATGCTACGCCAACAGCAGATGCAGAATCGCACTACATTACGACTCACGAGATCCAGCTGACGGAGCTTGACCATGATGCCGACTGCGACTTTAGTCACGGATCACGCTGGGATTATGATGACGACAACCTTGTGTACTCATTTGTGGATTATGCATCATTCGAGAGTGTTAATGCGGATGGAATAAGGGCCAAAAGCAGCCAACGGATGGATGGACAAAGTTCCCGGCCACCCAAACTGGCGGCTACAGGGGCACCAGTTAGCACCGAAAGTGAGCCATGCGAATCGGACAAAGGCACGAGTTCGGACGAGAGTCCCTGCAAGATGCAAGATGACAGGCTGTGTTCCACTGGACAGGTTCACATGGCTGTTAAAGCTTGCCCACCTGTTAGTGGTCAAGAAGAAGATACCCACTACCAAACAGTACGAAACTCCACTGGAGTTTTCGTAAACTCTGTCAGCAAGGATGAGGCACTTCGGGAGCATGGCCGCTGTTTCATCCCAGCGCCAGGTCGCCAGCACCTTGCCAGTAAGTTGAGGGGTAAGGACGTGAACGAGTATTCAAGTGGTGCATCTAGTTCCGTTAGTGAGCTGGATGATGCAGACAAAGAAGTACGCAACCTAACAGCCAAGTCATTCCGTAGTCTGGCATGCCCCTACTTTGATGCCATCAACCTGAGGACATCCAGTGAGTCCTCTGTCTCTGAGCATGGGCTGAGCTTCAACAGGTGGTCCACCTTTGTTGACTGGAATTATGGCGGCATAGGCCGTGAACGTGGCACACTAGAGGCTACCAAGCTTGCGGAGAACAAAAACAGTAATGTGGTCACTGACATGTCTCAGAATGGATCTTCTGAGTCAGCTAGGAAAATAGAACTGCGGAGCAACTTTCGGTCTGAGAAAGACGAGGCCAAGGATGTCAACCCAACTGAGATGATGAATGTCAGTTGCAACGTGGAAGCAGGTTTGGTCACAAAAAGCTCACACAGTGCTATGGGGTCATGTGCCACAGCCAATGTTGCCATCACCAATCCAGCCAGGTCAGGAAATGAGGCAGCAAGCCAGCCATCTGAGGTGGAAGATGGTATAGAGAACACATACAAAAAAGCAATTTTTGCCTCAAGTCTCTTGAAAAATGTCATCTCCAAGAAAATGCAGTTTGAACAAGAGTGTATGGAGAGGGTCCAAATGCAACATGTCTCGCCGTGCCCTCTGGATCAGGAAACGGACTCTCACAGGAACAGCACAGGCACCAAAGACTTACAGAGGCAGACGTCAGAAGCAGGGTCCAGACTGTCTGTTGTCTCCCTGGAGGAGCTTGGAGACATAATGGACAGTGTTTCCCACCTTTCTGAAGAAGAGGCACAGGACAGTTCACATGCTGCCACTGCAGAAGTCAATGTCGAGTCACCCAACAAAGTAGCAGTCACGTCTAAGGCAGACCCTTCTGAAAGCAAAAAGGGCCAATTACCATGCAGCCAAAAAAGTGCCTTCAAAACCTGGAAAGATGGTGAGCAGGTGATCTTCAAGACCCACCCTGGAAATGACAGCAAACCTGTGAAGATGACTGCGTCCACCTCAGAGCAAACGATGGAAAAGAAGAGAGAAAATGCTAATGGTAAGACGACCAAGATGTCCCACTTATATGTACCCAGCTCACATCTCCTCCCTAAAGAGAGGAGTCCAGTAAAGCTTTCAGGAGAAGGAGTGCACAGAGAAACAAGTGCTACTTCAGACCGAAATCAAGGCGGGAAAGCCCAGGAGATCACAATTCGCTTGCACAGCACAAAAGAAAACAACAGCAACCCATTCAGCATAGCCAGCCTCCTGACCCCTAACATCGGAAGCAAACCCGGTAAGAGCCATGTGCTCTCTGTGAGCGACAAAGCACCACACTTCATGGTGAGGGATGTCCGGGACAACAAATGGAAGCTCCACACCCCCATCCACCAGGTGCGAGATGTGCGCAAGCTGGTGAAAAGCTCCTACAGGTTTGTGTCACTGGAGAACGTGGAGCATAAAACAGAACCTTCTGCATCACATGAGGAGAGCCAAGTCATGAAGAAAGAACCTGACAAAGCACAATTCCCAAGTCCCATGGTGATCAAGTGCCAGTCTGTGAACACAAGTGGTGGCACACAACGAGGTGCAAAAGTGAGTGGTGAGAGCTTACGAGAAACAGAGACGGGGAGAGAGATCTCACAATGCACCAGAAATGACAGCATGCGTCGGGTACCATGCACGAAACAGCCTGACCCAAAATCGGTCAAACAGAAAGTGGAGTGCAGGCTCACAAACCAGGCAGCTCTCGAGAAGCTGAAGGCAGCTGTGAAAACGATGGAACAGCTCTACGTCTTTGACAGGAATGAGTGGAAGCGCAAAACAGAGGCGCCCCAGGTGGTAACAGACAGTCACGTACTCTCCCTCATCGCCAGTGAGGAACACAGGCTGGCAGGAAAAACGGACCCTGAAGACGAACAGAGGAAATTCACAAACATTGAGTCTCACGCCGAGAGGATATGCATGAAACCAGTTGTGCAAATGGACACACCTAAAACCTTCACCACTAAGCCCGACTCATATGATAATAGGTGTTTGTTGGGTCCAGGAAGTAGTCTAGGCAGTAAAACTGCTGTTAGCGCACAGCAGGACAGACAGTGTTCCACCAGTGGGAAGTCCAGCTCCACTAAGGGACCCTTGTGTCTGAAGATTTCTCCATCGAAAGCTAAGCTAGAAGAAAGAGGGATGACCAGCACGACTAATTCAGAGACTCTTGCTAAACCTCAGCACTCGCATCCCGCACTCTCTGATTCTGAAAACTATCTGAGCATCCCTGTTAAATCTTGCCCCACTGAGCACAACCTTGCTCCCCAACCCCGTCCCTCGCAATCCCACCCACCCCTGCAGCGCTCCCCGGTCGTCACAGACTCTTGGTCTCCTGAGAGCCCGACAGCAACAATGGTGTATCACCACACAGTTCACCCCCAACTTCTATGCATTACACCCCCCATGGATGCCCCTCTCCCAAGCACTCAGCGCAAGCTGCTGCTGGACCCCACCACTGGTCAGTGCTACCTGGTAGACACCCCCATCCCCCTGCAGCCAGCCACTCAGAGACTCTATTACCCTGAAAGTGGCCGATATCTGGACGTACCACTGTCCGTCACCCCTGGACCCATCTCACCCATCACCCTTAGTCCAGCCTATGCCCCCCCACCCTACTTCATCTACCCACCAACCTTGCTACCACCCCATTTACACGCCCAGTCGTCTGCATGTTCAGAGGGTGACAGTGTGGGATCTGCACCAGGCCTGTACCTCGCCCCACCAGGAGTAGCAACATCCAGCACTAAGCCAGTCATTAGCATCACATCACAACAAGGGCCCCGAATTATCGCCCCTCCTTCATTTGATGGGACGACCATGAGCTTTGTCGTGGAGCACAGATAACTGAGGGTGAGTGCTTTACCGTTGTTGGTTCTTTGTTGCGGGTAATGTTGGTAATTGAACTGCATCAGTTTTGAGATGTTCCAATAAATTATAATATACATTTGCGTACAATTTGCATTTAGCAGATGCTGTTATCCAGAATGACCTTCAAAAGTATTTTGTTGCCTACTGGAGTACCCACTTGTCCTTCACATGTTTTGCTGATCTAAAACACTCATATCAGTTCAGGAAGGGCTCATTAATGAGCCAGTAAGTTGGATCAGGTGTGTTGGAAACAGGAAAAAACACTCCAGGACCTGATTGTCCAGGAATCTGTGGGCAGTGATTCTCAAATCAGTCCTCCGGGACGCCAAGATGGTCCACTTGCTCCAACCCAACTGCCAGCACATAAGGATCAAAAATGTGGACCATCTGGGGGGCCTGAATACCTGTTTACGTATCCATGGGACTTGTATAAAAAAACAAACAAACAAACAAACAAAAATAATAATAATAATAATAATAATAATAGTAATTGTCTTTACTTTGCATACCATAAAATGCAGCTCAAAGTGCTTTACAGAACAACAACAGAGAAAGATCAGTACAGAAGATAATCAAACATAGAACAAACAAATAATAAAAAATCCAACAAATAAAAGTAATAATAGAAAAGGGGCACAAATGCACAAGACAGAGTCATATAAATAAAAGAATAAAAAAGATTAAACAAGGAATCATTTTAAAACAAAAATGGTTGAAGGAATAAAAAAGGAATAAATTAAAAGAATAGATAAAATAATTAAACAAAAAGCATATTGTCAATTGTATGCTTGATTAAAACAATAATGTTTAAATTGTTGTTTTAAAATGTATAAAACATACTCTTGAGCTAATTGGTTGTAACAATATTCAACAAAGGATACATTTTTTGGCAAAAAAATAAAAGTTTTGGCATATTTTGGAAGCTAAACCTCAAAGAAAAGCTTGATGTATTTTTATTGTCTGTTCCAGTGCTGAGTCAATCAGAGGACTTTAAATCTGGACTTTGAATCCAGTTTCTGGTCCTGTATTTTGTATTCACTGCTAGATAACTGACCTGTGGATGTAACTGACTGGTCACCTACACTCTCAGAAGAAAACTTATCTTTCAGAGTACAGTCGCAGTCACTGTGGTGTTGGCCTACATCTTCAGTACCTTTGGTCTGCAAATACGTTTTTGATTAGGAAAAATCGTCCCATATTCTGTTTCAGTTGTTTAGGTTAAATTGACTTTTTGATACTTTATTTTATTTTTCTTCTTAAGAAGTCAGTTTATGAAAAGGTGCAAATATGTCCCTTCTCCCTGTGAAAGTAAATGCAGGGTACAAATCACACGTTTTGTTGACTGAAGTTCACACATCCTCTACAGGGAACACACTTCTGCACATTTTAATGCAAAATTACTGTTTATATGCCTGTTTATTACAAAAAAATCAAACATTAAATGTAACCTGTGCAAAAATCGTGGCACATTTTATATTTTATTCATGTTTTATTTTTCCCACTAATATATATAAGTGATAAATAGAAATCGGTAACTAAAATTTGCAGAAAAATGCATTATTTACGTTCGCTTCCTGTAGAGGATGTTTCCTTATTTTTTTACTTTAAAAATCAGCAAAACAAGTAATATGACACGGGTTTTTTTTTTCTTTGCACAAAACGCCTTTAAAACTCCTGTAAAGTGGACCTTATTGACCATGTTGTGCATTTGAGGGTACGTTTACATTATTTGTACTGAAATGTCGGATTTGAAGCCCTCTGGTGTGAATAGTTCTTCCATTTCAGGGTCTTCATTCAGATTTAATCGTGATCAAATCATGTCTTAAAAAACGGTCATAGAATGGTTCTTAGATTCGTACCTTTGTTGTGTGTGTGTGTGTGTAAAAGAAAGAGAGAGAGGGAAAGAAAGAGTAAGTGTCTGTGCGGGTGCATCCGAGAGAGTTTGTGGGGGTGAGAGAGAGAGCAAGAAAAGAGAGCACTGGAGATAAAGTGTCTATGTATGTGCGTTCGAGAGAGATAGAGGTTTGTTCCAGCGCTGCTGTGGTTATCTGGTTTCGCTTTAGCTGTGCTGCATCTCCCTCCCTCGTTGAAAGAGAACAACATGTGGGTGGAAAAGTGCTTAGAAAGGGGGTCTGAGCGAATTTGCAGTTAATCTAGATAAGGAGAAAAGCAGAAGGGGAATTCCACCAACTTTTCTAAGCTTCATTGGTTGATTACGTAAACAGGGCCTGGATGTCATCGAAAAATAATTAGCATAGTATTTCCTGGTTAAAAAATCGCGATTATTGATAATATCGCCCTCCTTTCGCCTGTTCACCCCCCAAAAAATACACGGCAGCTTTGACTTACTTGCTATTCTATTTTAGTATAATTATATATTTTTTAAATCTTAACTGTTTTAATGAAAATATTTAATAAAACTCACGTATTAAATAATACGATACTGAGTGGCCCAAGATCTTTTGAGGACTACTTTACCTGTCTTTATATTAAACCTACTGCGAACACGCATTCATGAGCTTCTTCTGCTGCACATTTGTAAATTCGACTCCAGAACCAGATCATTGGAGGGGCTTCAGAAACAGGAAAGTGTGCAGTTATTCAGAAATACAATGAAATGCATGGCTGCCATTCGTTCTTGGCTATATGACCTAAAAACGAAACCGTTTTTGAATTAACTGGAATATCCCACACTTGAATTGCTAATTATTGGAGCTCAGCACCCTGAATATTCAGTATGCTAACAACAGAGGATGTAACTGCAACACAAAACACCGTTTGGAGGGATTACACTGATGTTTATGAGACTTACAGGCAAGGGGTGAAATACAGGGATTCTTGGAGGGTCCGGGACCCCCTAATTAACCTCTTGGACCCCCTGAATGTCTCAAAATCAAATTTCTAGGGGCTCCCTGAAAATAAACATATTATGACGTTATGCTGTCCATTAGGGAAAAGCAGGCGCCTGGATACAAATTCAGGGAAAGGTCATTGATTAGCTGCTTCACCCAGCTTCAGCAAGCTACTGTCTTTGGTAACTAAACAGAGATGCAGCACTGCTCTGACTCACAGCGGCGCTGTAGCACACTGGCTTAGGTAGTTGGTCTTTCATAGCCTAGCAACTGTAACTATGGCCGGGATACCTCAGAAAAAATGTACAATATGCCACAGCATATTTGTAAATCTGAAAACTTGCCCGGTTTTTCAAGAGACCGCTGGAAACTGGAGACAAAACTGGAGACAAAAGAGGTGATAAAGAAGATCTGGGTTAATGTATCTAAGACCACTGTCAAAAGTCAGAGGCCACCCTTCATTTAACTTCCAGTGAAAATGGCCAACGGGCCAGGTCTCACTGGCAGGCCCAAAGTTTTATTACAACCTTTATAACCTAAGAATAGCTCAACCAGTTTGTACTGAAGTCCGTGTAGTTACTGAATAATAAGCCTTAGTATGTAATAAACCTCTGATTTTAAGGAGTTACATACAAGTTATTCATTTTTTTAGCATCAGAAAAAAACAGCAAACATACATTTAACAGAAAATTATGCAACAACTACATTTAATATCAGAACTTTTTCTTTACCTTTATTCCAGCTTCCATTCTTTTCAGGAGACTCACTTTCAGTTTCTCTGCAGACTCACCTCCAAAGTTCAGTCTTAGAAGCTGGTTGATCGTTTTCTGAAGTAATCAAACACATTCAGTGGTGTTGAGGTCTGGACTCTGGGGTGGTCAGTCCATTGTTCAGCTTCTTTGTTTGATCTCCTTTTCTCAGTGAGGTCCTTCTTGACAGCTACACATCCTTTCAGACCCACAGCGCTGAGTCGTCTTCTCACAGTGGAAGGATGGACAGAAACACCTGTGGATGTTTTCAGATCTGAAGCAGCTTGATTTTCTCCTCTCTCTCAGAGATGAAAGCTTTAAGTGCTGTTTATCTGAGGGGGCAGTTTTGGTCAGTCTGTTTTGGCTGGAAATTAAATAAATAAAGGGTGTTTGATGTTCCTCAGTACTGTTTAAGTGCTATGCAGATTAATTAGTCTTCATTACCACATCAACCAGAGTCACTCTAGGTACCTACAAAGTGGTTTTGGTCTTAGTTTAAAGTAGGCTGCATTTTTCCCAAAGCACAACCAATGGATTCAACAAATGAAACTGGGGATGCAGTGTGTGCCTTGGCGCCCTCGTAAACCCAGTCCTGAAATTTTGGTCCAAACAAAAATAGTTTTGAATCAGAAACTTATACAAACCAGCTCATCATCCCTAAAAAGTGCTGAATAAAATCTGACTTCTAATGAGTTAATTTGTCATATAGTGTCAATACGTTACACATTACATATAACATAAACAATTTTTGGTCAAACAACATAAATATATATGTCAATTTGGCTGCACTAGACTGTTCTGTCCAGAATTAGTTCACTGATTCATTTCCCACGTGTCCATTTTCTTACACGTGTGGGCCTCAGTGCTTAACACGAGTGGGGCATAACATAATGACCACCTCCTTGTTTCTACACTCATTGTCCATTTTATCAGCTCCACTTACTATATAGGTGCACTTTGTAGTTCTACAGTTACAGACTGTAGTCCATTTGTTTCTCTGCATACTTTGTTAGCCCCCTTTTACCCTGTTCTTCAGTGGTCAGGACCCCCATGGACCCTCACAGAGCAGGTACTATTTGGGTGGTGGATCATTCTCAGCACTGCTTTAACACTGACGTGGTGGTGGTGTGTTAGTGTGTGTTGCGCTGGTCTGAGTGGATCAGACACAGCAGTACTGCTGGAGTTTTTAAACACCTCAGTGTTGCTGCTGGACTGAGAATAGTCCACCAACCAAAAATATCCAGCGTCCTGTGGGCAGCGTCCTGTGACCACTGATGAAGGACTAGAGGATGACCAACACAAACTGTGCAGCAGCAGATGAGCTATCGTCTCTCACTTTACATCTACAAGGTGGACTGACAAGGTAGGAGTGTCTAATAGA